TACGGACCCATTGACACTTCTCATGGAGTCTACCACAGACTCACACTTGAACCTGACATAACCTTCGTCATAATTGACTTCAAAAAGTTAATTTAACAAGTATTTGTATTTTATGAAGTTAAAGAGTTAAAAGACTAGTAGATCTTTTGGTGATATAATATAATTCAATGTCAAAATATTATTTGTTATTTAAGTAAGAACTTACCTTTTCTTTACAACTGTAATTATTGTTGTGAAATGATGTCCATTTGTGTGACGAATTGACCTAAAAATACAAAAAGGGCTTAATGACGAAAACCACTTAGGATTAATATGTTATCTTAAAGTGTTTTGATTATATAAATTTACTGAATTTAAGGGCAAAATAATTTAAACGCAATAAAGTGTGTCCTTAAAATCTGCACCCAATAAAATTGTACAAAACCAGCAAAGCTACGGTAAATGCCATTAAGAAAATTGAATTCAGTACTAAAAACCTGCAGCCGGCAACTAAGACACATCATTACATCATCATCATTATTAGCGTTTGGGCTAAAAACGATTTAGTAACAAAACCTCATTTGCCCAATATTCTGCATTTGCCCCACATACCACAACCCAACGTAATGCTGCTCTCAGGCTATGATGCTATGCGGAATATTACTCTACTCTTACTCCTACTCACCTGGTAATGTACTCAGCATCCAAATACTTGGTTGAGCGCGCATCAATTACAATTAAGTGATAGCATTCCGCTGTGGTGTTTGTATTTGAAAGGATCTCAAGCGCTGCCTCCTTTGTCTTCACCACAGTTACGTCCAATTGTTGGCGATGACACGCTTGTGTCATTACTTCACAGATATTGTCCGATTTATGAAATACAAGTAGAGCCTTTTTATTTTTTGGTTCGTTTTGTTAACATTTTTGTTTCGAAAAAGGTAAACAGAGACCGAACAAGAAAAAGATAAAAAAACAAATGAGATAAACATTTTGAAGCACGAGGACTGAGAAGTAAATTGCAAAAGTTTAGTCAAAGCTAAATTTATTAGTCATGGCGTTTAAGTAAATTTACCTTAAGCTGAGGATTCGGTGGTAATACGGTTGGATATTTCAAGTCCATGAGATTTTTCTGCAAATAAAAAATTAAAAAGAAAAAAGCCAAGTTAAACACGGGCGCTATTATAAAAATATTACACAAAACACATTTTAAATATTTAAATTGCATATAAAATGAAAGTTCTTTGAAATTGAATTTGGTATCGTTGGTTATCAATTTGATACCTTTTAGTCGCACACAAACTCACTTTTAGTCAACACATGCCAATGTATCTGGTAGATACATTTAATATACATAGCTGCTTACAAGCTGTAATGTCTTCCTTTTATGTGTGCTTAGGCAAAGTATGCAGAAAGCTAATAAATTATTTTGTATTTTTAAACGAAGATAAATTATTCAAAAGTTTTTTTACGCAAAGACTGTCATGGCAAGCACCATTTTTGCTGTTTATTCCATTATTTTTACTAACTTGATAAACAGAATTGAGTGTGACTGGGAGGAGTTGAACCCTATATGTATCGGAAAATTATTTGTATTTCATGCCTTGTTTTTCTAAGGGTAATGATAGCAGCTTATTATTGTATCTCAAAAAATGGCAATATAATTTTAGGCGTTTATAAAATGGCAATTATTTCATCAATTACTGTGGAAATTGCTAATAAGCCTGCGGTACAAAATAATTTGTCATTATTACAGCGAAAAAATTGAATAGAATAATTAAAAAAATATATATTCCAACAAAACATCTTTAAGCAAAACGAAATTTTAATACCCTATTTGTAAATTTATTACTAAGATGAACATAACAAAAATAATTCGTGTGAATAAACACGATTAGTCATTGCTTCTAATTTGACAGATACGAGTTTCTAGCCTGATACTTGCAGTGCAAACAAACAAAATACAGACTATAAACTTATCAAAAAGAAATTCGAATATTTCCTCAGACTACTGATGATAAGTACTTGGCAATACTCGAAACAGCGTTGTATGATCAGCCAAATTTCAATAAATTAACTAAAATTTATGTTGTTGTTTTTTCATTTCTATTCGAATCATTCTAATTTTTAAATAGTTTCTTCTTGTCATAAGACGCGTCACGATTTCATATTTAAGACAAATTACTTAATTAATTAATGAATTAATTAAAACACAACTTTATTGTTATTGCTTTTAAGTACTGTTTTTTTTTAATAAAATTATTTTCCTATATTTCGATTTTCTTAGACAATCATTTTTGGGAAACATTTTCGGTCATGGTTGATTGAATAGTTACAGTGGCAAGCCATTAGATAATTGGCAATTTTTAGCCGTTTTACTACCATATCCTCGCAAGAACCCCTAAGATAGAATATAGACTAAATTCATCCCATCGAATTTAAATAATTTAATATGTCTTTCGTCTTTACTGATGAACAGTCTGATAAACTGCTTTCGTATCTTTCTAAAAATTTATTTCTTCTGGACGTCAAAGAATTTTACAGTTTCTTTTTCCTGCAGGTTTCTACAACATCTGTAGAGCGGATTATGGGGAATGCGCAGTTTCTCTGCGTGGGTTCCTAAACACCAATGACCAGAAAGAACTGCAGTAAGTCTTGCATTGTTCACATAGTCTCTTGGATTATGGGATAAGTTCTCAGGATTTTGTTTTGTTATAAGTGGATCATGTTAATCACTTGCGCATGACTTAGTGCCCTCCTTTTGTTATTGGCAAGCTGAAGAAAATAGAGGTTAATACTTTTCTTAATGGTTTTCAGGGTAATAAAAACCGGTATCGTTAGAGACACATCCAGGGACGCACCAGAGCGGGCTAAACTGTCTGATTTCCCATTCCCTTCGAAATTTCCATATTCTGGAATCCAGATGAGGGTGATATTAACCATTAGGTTTAGCTCATCGATTGCCTCTCTACTTTCATTTACTAACTTTAGTTTTGTAATGAAAGATTCAAGAGCTTTGTTTGCATTTTTTCTTGATGTGACAAGCAATTTGCAGTCATGCTTCTTTAATGGCTAAGATTTCAGCCTGATAATCCGTGGTCTCATTAGGTAGCCTAAGGGAATTATTTATGCTTGTAGATGACGTGAAGAGATCTAGTTTCTAGATACAGTTTATTTTCGAGCCGTCCAAATAGATTGAAATATCGTAATTTACTTGAATGTTTCTTCTTTATCATTCGTTTCCTCGAGGGAATATTGTCTGAAACTTTCTTCCTCTTGGTCATACAAATGAATGAATAATTAGTTCAAATTGTATTTAAGTTTGCGAAAGGTAGTTAAAGATATTTTATATAATTAATTTAGAAGAAAACTACTTAAATTCTAAAGAATTTTTTCTAGTGCTATAATTTATATATAAACACATTTTTTGCAATTAAAATAACTTTCATATATTATTATGACAGAACGTTAGTTGGAGTATTATTTATTATTGAAGTTCATATGTATACAGACACATTTTATGAGGACATTAAAAATCACATCTATAAATATATATCTAAAATATTTCTTAAGTACATTTTTAATGAGTACTTAAAAATTGCAATTCCACTTAGCATTGAAAATTAAATTTTTACCATTAATTTTAAGTGGTTTGGGTATTTTTCACAAAACAATTAAACTGTACATATTTATTATATAAGATTATTAAATTTATTAACTATTTTTCCCTTTTAGTGATTTTCTTCATCAATTTCACAAAACCCCAAATATCAACTCTGTATAAAAAATGTATGTTAAACATTCATTCATTCGACAAAGGTTTAAAATTTTCATAAAATCTATTGATTTTAAGGGACAAACTTAAGCTTTTGGTTAATCCCTAGTAAAATATGTCGTATCAGTGTCAAAAATTATTAGCATTCATGGTATAAGTAAAATTTATTAATTTTTATACACAAGCAATTTTCAGATCCCTTAAAACTGTATTGAAAATTTTAATCTTAAGCTTCCATGAGGAAGAAATTTCATTTTCTTCCTTTATTTATACTTAAGCTTTGCCCTTTTGTCGTTCGATAAAATTTAAAGCTTATTGGATTTTTCTGTTTTCTTACACAATTTTTTTTTGTTGTCCTTAGTATTTATTTCAGGATATTTAATACTTCTTTTTTGGTATTTAATTTACTCGATGCGTTATACCTACACTTCGCTTCTCCCCTTCACGCTTGCTTTTTCGTCCTTTTGACAGGTGGCGCTTTGCGCTAATGCATCAGGATATGCCTTTAAGCGGGATTTGCGTTGGCCCTTTAATGTGTCTTTGCATTGTACTTAATCATAATTTGTTTCCTTTGCAATTTAGTGTAGCTTCTTGGAGCGGTGAGAACGAACACTGTTTAAAAGCTGTAAACTCATTTGAATTCACTTAACTTTGCTTATTGGCATTTTCGGAAACTGGAACGACTTTCAATTTGACTTCACTTTCAATGGGATTTTGTAATCTCATCAAAAACGAAAATATTTTACGTCATACTTCCCCTTCTCGGTTCATTTTTGTTTATTACTATTTTTAATTTATTTCTGCTGAAAGTACATAATAATATTTCTGCTTTATTCAGAGGAAAATTAACAAGTCAGAGCGATACTTTGTTTCGTTACTTGGAATAACGCTGAAAGCAATTAATTTGTTGATAAGGATATAAATCCAATATTTTGTTAGTTGAAATGAACCGATGAGTATACACATGTTGGCTTGTTAGTGGGCGTCTTAATATTCACTAATGAAATCACAAGTTAATATTTAGTAAGAAGATATTTTCATAAATTTGAAAAAGAACACAAATAGAAATATTGTTGCGATGTAAAGTGTTGTCGGGGTTATCAGCTTCACTTATCTCCGGAGTGATTGGAATAATACTCCGGTAAAGTGTCTTTACAACCACCTGACATAGACTGTCGCCTATATTCTTGAAGACTATTCAATGTTTTCTTACAAAGTTGCATGCACCTTTGGCTATTTACACATTTTATATAAAATATAAAAGATCAAATTATTTACAAATTTATTTTGTCTATCTTCTTCTCTTATCCTTTCCTCTCAGTACAGCGTAGGACCTTCACTACCGAACTCTTTTTTACGTGCTTTTTGATTAATGTCATTTTAATAATTTGCTGCTTACAATTCTGCATTGACTATCCTTCATCATATTCTAGTAGGTATCCCAACAAGACGATCACTTCCTTTCAGTTCCATTTGAGTGCTTGATGAGCAATGTTTTGGGGGGTCTGCCAATCACTTCTCAGATGTTGGCATTTGGTTGGTGACATCCCAAAGATTAGCATTGCTCACCAACATTGGTCACTAGATGTTGAGAATCTGACACAAACATTTGTTAAAAAATGCTTTTGGCGGTTTTAAGTGGTTCTAGGCGTACGTCTTACATCCATAAAAGAGGATGAATTCTAATTAATTTGACGTTGAAATTATAGATGCTTTGCTTAGTTTTTACAGAGATATGTCAAGACTCTCAGATAGAGCGTAGCATGAAAAATGAAGCTTTAGATTTGTTTATGCGCGCCGAGATGTTCCTATCAGCCCCACCCTTAGTAGTTGATTATGCTACCAAGCTAGTTGAAGGTGTTAACATATTCGATGTTCTGTTGGTTTAAATTTAAATTAAAGCTAATACACGGTGCGCGGTAAGCACCAGTCATAACTTTAGTTGTCTTTATGCTGATTTTTAGTTCGATGTTTAAAAACTCTCTGTAAATGGCGTCAATATTTCTTTGCAGATAATTGGAAGCTTGGCTGAGAAGACCGACGTTGTCTGCATATTTTAAGTCTCAAGCTGTGTAAAGGGACTCCTCTAGTTTTTCTTTCTTCCACTCAGTGACTGGCTCATTATAGGAAACAACATTATACCGCGGTAATTAATGCAGTTGTTGGTATCTCCTTTTTGTAGATATTTTGACCAAAGTATCTTCATTCCACGAGGTTGGTAGGGGTTAAATTCTCGCTAAATTCTCTGTATAAATGGAGGCCTAAGCGTTGCCGATTCCTCTATATTGCATAAGAGTATTTTTGCACAAATGTTGTCAATCCCGGGAGCTTTGTTGTTTTTGAGTACTTTAATAGT